CTATATTCATCAAGGATGTTGGCCTATAATATTGCTTTCTTGTAGTCTTGTCTGACTTTTGGTATCAGGGTATGTGTAAGGCTCAATGCAATAACTTCCAAACAGTTTATCTTGCAGTTGTGCTATTGTTATTATATATTTTTATGCTTTTATATCCCATAAAGTGCTTTTGTTTATTTAAATAGTTAATATTGACTTATATTTGCCCATCTATTTACTCTTTCCAGGATTCTTGATTCCTTCCTATTATTATGTACTTCCATCTGGGGTCATTTTTCTTAATCTTGAAGAACTACTTTTTATATTGTATTGCTAGCAAATTCTCTCAGCTTTTGTTTATGTAAAATTATCTTTATTTTGCCTTCACTTTTTGAGGGATATTCTTGCTATGCGTAGAGTTTTAGGTTGGCAGATCACCTTCTTTTTTTTTTAAGCAATGCCACTGTGTTCTGGTTTCTATCATTTCATTTGAGAAGCCATATGTATTATTGTTGCTCTAAATGGAAAACATCCTTTATTTCTCACTAACTTACAGATTTCCTCTCTAAGATTGGTTTTTAGCATTTGATTATAATCTGCCTAGGTGTAGTTTTCTTTTTATTTATCCTGCTTCTGGAATGAGGAGAGTTTTTTTAATCTGAGTTTTGATGTTTTTCAGCCCTTTGGGGAACTTTCTGCCATTAATTATCAGTATATTGCTTCTGTTTCATTCTTTCTCCTTTTCTTCTGGGAGCCTAATTACACATCATTACCTTTTACTTTGTCTCATAATTCTTATTATATTCTTTCTATATGTTTTCATCTCCTTATGCATCATCTTTTCTTTCTCTGTGTTATTTTTGAATAGTTTCTACTGATTCCTGTTGCAGTCCACCAATTCTTTGGTCACGTGTATTTAATATGCTATTACAGCTAACTATTGAATTCCTGATTTCAATGATTATTTTTATTTCTAAAATTTCTATTTTAACATTTTATGAGTTTCAATTCTATACTGGAATTCTCCAGCCTGTTTCTCTTATTTTTGAAGACATTACATTAATCACAGTTATTTTAAAGTTAGTTCCTGTTTAAGAACTCAAATATCTGAACCACTTGTAACTATGTTTCTATGTTTTGTTGTTTCTCTTGAATTCTTCACAATTCATCCTTATTTTTAGCCTGCTTCTAAATTTTGGATTAGACAGAGACATCATGAATGAAAAATCAGGAAGTTGTAGTTGATGTTATTTTTTTCCAAAGAGGGTTTTTTTTTGAGGTGGGAGACAAAGTAACAGAAGATTACTTGATAGTATCAAAGGTTAGCTTTATGCTTTCTTAGAACAGATCCATTTCAGATTTTTCTTCTACCCAAGAGCATAGACCTTATGTCTTATGCATTGTTCTTATTCATATGCCATCGTTTTTCTCTTGTCTCAACTGAAAGCAGAGAGTGTTGGTAAGAATCACTTACTTTGGTGGGGCTTGACCTCCATATTTCCATAAGTCTAGAACTACTGAAATGAACTGCTCAGTTGACTGGCATTTTAGCCACTATTTTCTGCAAGTTTTTTTGGTCTCTCCCTGTGCATGCACAGCTTAGAAATCAGTGAGTGACTTGAGGGAAATTTGTACATAGATTTTTAGATTCACTTCTCTGAGGTTTCTTCTTGTCTGAAATTTCACCCTTTGAGTTCCAGTTCATTTGGTAATCTTGAACCAGTAAGACTGACATTTCCTGCTTGGCCTCAATTATCTTTCATTGTGAACTGGAAAATGCTCTAAAAGAAAAAGCCATAGTGAATGTACAGTTCATATCCTGTTTTCCTTCCTTCAGGATTGTAGCTTCTCAAGTTTTGTTTATATTGTTTGCTCTTCAAAGTCTTCCTTTGTTTCCTATATTTTACCCAACTTTATTGCTGTTTTTCATGGAAAGTTTGTTCCAAACAAGGAATTTTCTCAATGATAGAACTGAAAGTCTCTCACCATTTTGTCTTACATCTCAGATTATTTATCTAAGATTATTTTATTACTTCTTGAGATATATCCTTTAGAATTTCTTTTAAAGCAGACCTTTTGATGATAAATTCTCAATATTTGTTGGTCTGAAAACATATTTAAGGCTCTTATAATAGAAGACAGTGACAGAGTTGTGATAGGGATGAGAAAGCAGTGAGGGTAGGTTTTGGGTAGCTTTCAGACTATTAAGGATGGTGCTACTTTGAACATTCTAGTACATGGCTTTTGGTGACATATGTATGCATTTCTGCTGGGCATATAGGTTAAGGGTGGTTTTACTAAATAGTCTTATTTTTTTTTTAACTTCAAAGTATTTTTTTAACGTTTAAAACATACAAAATTTCTAGAGAAAAAAAACTACCTGTCAACCCTTCCCACTTCCTAAGGAAGCCAAATATATCCTTATTTTTCCTGTTAGAAAAACAGAAACATACAAAAGTAGGATCTTTAATGTTTCACTGAAACAGCTGTATTATTTTATGTAAAGATCTATCGTTATTTATTAACCAGCTCGCTGGCTGGTAAACAGTCTCATGGGTTTATTTTTTGACAAACTGCCCTGCTTCCCTGCCAGGGCTGGGGCAAGGGTCTCCATCCTGGACCTGCGGGGGCACCTTCGCACGGACGCTGACACATAGCGGGGCCTGTGCGGTTTGGGCGGGGAAGTCGGCCAGGCTCCGCCCCCACCGTTGCGTCCGCCAATCAGCTACCGGGACGGCCTCCTCCTCCCTCTCCATCCCCACCGCGGCCCACCTTCACCCGCAGGTTCCACCACCGTCTCTCCCAGTTATCAAATCCGGACTGGGTGCCGCTTCTCCGTGTCACACCTCTGCAGAGGAGCCCCTTCCCCCTCTGAAGTAGCGGGTGTGGATATTGCTGGACAACGGGTGAGTCTTGTACAGATAAGGCTTCTGGGCACGGAGCACAGACGGAGGTCCCTGCGGCTGGGCTGGGCCGGGGTCGCGGTGGGAGTGAGTCCAGCGGGGCTGAGAAAGCGATCGGGTTTTCGGCCTGAGACCACTTGGGCCTAAAAAGCCAGACATCTTTCAAAGAGGATTCCCTGAGGTTTCTCCATGTCTGTTTCTGGCTCTGCTTTTTTTTTTTTCTCCTACCACTCTGGCTCTTATTTCTTTAGTGCTGTATTTCTCGTCCAGAAAGGCAGCCATCAAGAGTCTAATGCATTCTTGCCCTTTCCAAACATTTTTCATAATAGAATCTTTCAAAATGACAGATAAGCACAGAAAACAACAACAGATTTATCAGAGCACCTTTCCTTCAGCTCCCTCTTTCCCTCCCAGCGTCACTCCCTCGCTCCCTCCCTGTATCTCTTCTTAAGAAACAATCTGACATTTAAGCCTTTTCCCCACCAACTGTCACACTGCCATCCTCAGAGGTAAGTTAGGTTGTATCCCTCCCATGTATAGTTTTGTCCTTCTATTATTTATTTGTATGTAAGCAATATATGCATTGTTTTGAATTTTAAATTTTTCATGAAACTCGGTGTTTTGGGGTTCCGTCTTGGTGCTACTAATCTTGGTATTTCAGACCCAAAAGGGTCTTAGCAAACAAGTCAGCCAAACAGCCCTCCCTGTTTAGCTAAGAACCCTGGCCCCTGGAGAAGATAAAAGACTTCCTTGCCATCACTCCTCCACTGAGCAGGATCCTGAATTTGGGATCCCTTACTTCTGTTCCTGGTGTTACCGCTATGTAAATCCTGCCAGTGAGCTCACCTACACACATACTCCTATTGAATATTGTTCATACAATTCAATTTTGGAAAAGGGGGTTGAAGGGAGAAGGGGAGAGAAAAAATGACTTGGATTTGGGCCAAAATCTTACTCAAGGTTAAAAGGTATGCATTTTCCTGAAACATTGTATGCTATTAAATGTTATGATGACCAGAATATTTATTTTATTTAACAAGTATACATAGTCTTACTGTTTGCCAGACATTGATCTAAGAACTTTGTAGGTATTCACTCAGAGATTTAAGCCTTGGATTGTGACATAGGTACCAATTTTATCATCCCCATTTTATAGGTCATGACACTGAGGCACAGAGAATTAAGTAACTTGTGCAAAGTCACCTAGCACGTAAACTGTAGCACTAAGATGGATTCCAGATCATCTGGTGACAGTCTGAGTTCCTAACCATTGTATAGTAACACCTGAGCTCAGCGAAGTCACCACACAAAGTAGGAACTTGCAATTCTGAGAAGGGAAAAGCAACTGTCAGCTGGTCATCAGAAAGGACTTCAGGAAAGAAAGAGGATTTGAAAAGTACACAGAATAAATTTCAGCCAATTTTGGTAGCTTGACATATAATATATTCTTATTTTTAATTTACAAAAGTAACATATAACCGTGCATATGATGCAGAAGTATGTAAAAGTTGCCCTTCAATATTCCTCAGATTAAATATTAGCAGAGAGAGATGAATCTGTCCTTTCATGCATCATAATACAAATATACGCGACTGCTTTTTATTATAAAAACGACAGCCTATTCAACAATTTCTACCATTTTTATTTTTCCCTAGGCAATATGTCCAGTACATTCCTCCTACAAACTGGAGATCTAAGCTCTTCATAAGAATTGAATAATAATTCTGTAGACTGTATCCTATGGTTTGTTCAGCCTTTTCCTTTACTAATGAATAGTCAGAGAAGTATATGTCTTTATTAAAGCGGCCACCCCCACTGTCCGGATGGGGGCCACCGCAATGCCCAGCCCACCGGGCCGGCGACACAAAGAAGTGCTGTCCCCTGCCAAGCGTCGCCCCTCGGCTCGCGGCCCCGCCCAGAAGGAAGCGGGGGGCGGGAGGAGACTGGTCGGGAGCCCCTCCCCTCCTCCCCCTCGGGCTCCGCCCAGCTCGCCAGCCTAGAGCTGTTTGCGAGGACGCCCCTTCCCCGCAGAACCCAGGGCCCTTCTGTGCACGCAGCCCTGCTTCCTCCAGCTGCCTCCGTGGAAGCTGCAGGGGCGACCTGGTGAGTGGCCCTCTCCTAACGTTCCGCAGGCCGGACCAGGGGCGAGTGGCCGTGCTCTGAGATCGGGTAGGGGGAGGCAGGCGCTGGAGGCCGAGGGGCGCGGGCAGGGCAGGGGAAGAGGTTGCGGGTGCCTAAAAAGAGTGGCGGAACCCCTCGCTGTTGCGTCCGCCTTCCGGTGAGTGTTCTCGGCTCTCCGGCTCTGCGTCCCTCCTGCCGCATTGCTTCTCCTCTCCGGGTTCTGACATCTGATGTTTGTTTAATTGCTTTGTGTGGTAGAGTTACGCGCAGGCCTGGCCTTAGAGAAACAGCCTCTCCTCCGCAGCTTTATCGCTGAGCCTGCCGTAGCCCCTGGGTGGTGGCAGGGCTTGCTCAGGAACACGCCGGGAACTGGGGATGGAACATCACTTCTGTCCTCCTGCCCTTTGATCTTTGCAAACACCGTCTCTGTGTCTGAGATCCCTCGCCCACTCCCATTGCCCCCTCCCCCATTCCCATTGCCCCTTCCCCCCGAGACTGGTCGGGGTGTGTGTCTGTCTGTCTGTCTTAACAGGGGCGGATGATCTGTGCCCCTCCAACCCACCCTGAGCTCCCTGCTAGCAGGCCAGGAGAATTCCATGGCAATGCACGCGAGCTTTTCCGCGGTCTCCCCTCCCCTCACCCCTCCGCCTCCTGCTTCCACCATCTCAGCCACCTCTCCACTCCTCTGACGTCACCGACATGCTCTTTGCAGATTGGCTCCGGGCCTGGGGAAGAAAATCTAGCCGACCTAGATCCTGGAAGGGGAAGGTGGGAGGGGGATCCCACACCAGAACTTATCGCCGACTGCCGCAGAGCTGAGGACTGCCCTCTCCCACAATGTCCAAGTGATAGACACCCTGGAAAGCAGGCTGGTCAACAGTAAGAAGCGGCTGGTGGATTTAAAAACAAAAAACTCGGGTCTCATTCCTGGGCCCATACTCCTCCATTACTCGATTTTCCTGGGAATTACCGAGTGAGAAAAGTGAGCAAATACGAATGAGAGAAAGACAGAGAGCCGCCGGAGGGAACTTGGAGATTTAGAAGAGACTGCATTAAGGTTGAACGGGGGGAACAGAAAAGTCAAGTCTTGAATGACTACATCTATGGAGATAGGGAAGGAACTGATTCTGGAAGGCCATAAGAGTGCCTTGAAAGATAATAGTAATGGTCTGTCTTTTAGGCTAGGTGATTGGTATATGGAAGTTTGTGTATTGTTTTATGATTATTTTAACATCCATATTCTTCCATGTGCATTAGTGTGTGTGTGTTGAGTGGTGTCAGACTCTTTGCGACCCTTCTAATGATAGCCGGACAGGCTTCTCTGTCCCTGGGGTTTTCAGGCAAGAATATTGAAATGGGTTGCCATTCCCTTCTCCAGCGGATCTTCCTGACGCAGTGATCAAACCCATGTCTCCTGCATCTCCTGCCCTGGCAAGCAGATTCTTTACCACTAATGCCATCTGGGAAGCCCTCTATGTGCATTACATATTCTTTTAAATGTATGGATTAAAGCATTATAAGTGAAAATCAAATCAATAGATTGAGCTGGTAATATCTAAAACAGAATGTGAAAGGTGTTGAACCCACCCTGATTATGGCTACTATTAGCAGAAGATGGTGGACACTGGAAAAGATATTAGACATATAAAGAAAAAGAAACAAAGAGGTTGATGGTAAAAATGGACCACGACCTGTGGAGTTGGTGTCTGTGATATGAATCATTTTTCAGGGCCAGAGTAGCTATATGCTGTAGAAGTGATCCCAGGTTTGCCCTTAATACCCACATCCATTATACAGTCATTCATCCGCGGAGTGCCTGTTCATTCCTGGGGGGAATCCAAATATATAAAACTTGTCCCCTGACCTCGCATAGTTACTCTGCTTTGGGGATTTGAAAGCAGGCTATGATGCAGGTGTGGTACAGTATCCAAAGCAAGCCCTCTACCTTCTCTCCCTTACAGAAACAGCTCTTAAAGGGAGACCCTGTGCAGGTACCCTGGGGCCTCTTTGTGGTAGGGGCAAGGGACTTATTAAGCTCTTTCTCCTGAGTTGCAAGTCGTGCCTGAGGTGCCTTCTGCTTTAAAAGTGCCTTGGGTTTCATTAGCTAGTGGGCCTGGAGAAAGCAGAGAAAGCAGGATCCATAAGGAGATCCAAAGATGAAGAACTCAAGGGGAGCAATAAGGATGCCCCCCAGGCTGTGTCCATCTGTGCTCAGCAAGCTAGGAGGGCAAACAGGGATTCAAACACAAGGAAGAAACATTTGGTTTAAAAATCAAGTGTTGGGGTCACTGTTAGCTGGTTAAAGTGGGGATAGAATCAGCTGCAGAGTTTAAGGAACCTCCACAGAGGAGGAAATCAGATTTATTGGTGGACAAATGCATAACTTGTTGGAAGATGAAGAAAGATGTTTTAGGATGAGTAAAATAGAATCAGTTGATGAATCTAATCATTTATATATTCAATTGTTTAATGGGTTTGCTTGATTGAATTTATATTATCTGTGCTGTTTTGGGGCTTTCCAGGTGGCACTAGTGATAAAGAACCTGCCTGCCAGTGCAGGAAACATAATGAGACTCAGATTTGATCCCTGAGTTTGAAGATCCCCTGGGGGAGCGCATGGCAACCCACTCCAGTAGTCTTGCCTGGGGAATGCCATGGACGGAGCAGCCTGGTGGGCTGTGGTCCATAGGGTTGCAAAGAGTTGGACATGACTGAACTGACTTAGCATGCATGTACATTCTATTTTTAATTATAATAGTAATATATACAACAATTCAAAGCAGGTAGACGCTTGCTTCTTGGAAGAAAAGCTATGACAAACCTAGACAGCGTATTAAAAAAGCAGAGGCATCACTTTGTTGACAAAGGTCCATGTAGTCAAAGCTATCGTTTTTCCAGTAATCATGTACGGATTTAAGAATTGGACCATAAAGAAGGCTGAGTGGTAAAGAATTGATGCTTTCAAATTGTGGTGCTGGAGACGACTCTTGATAGTCCCTTGCACAGCAAGGAGATCAAACCAGTCAGTTCTAAAGGAAATCAACATTCATTGGAAGGACTGATGCTGAAGCTCCAATACTTTGGCCACCTGATGCAAAGAACTGACTCACTGGAAAAGACCCTGATGCTGGGGAAGATTGAAGGCAAAAGAAGGGGGCGGCAGAGGATGGAATGGTTATATGGCATCACTGACTCAATGGACATGAGTCTGAGTAAACTCCAGGAGATACAAAGCCAGTGCTCTAGGACAACCCAGAGGGATGGGGTAGGGAGGGATGTGGGAGAGGGTTCAGGAATTGGGGGGGGACATGTGTACCCATGGCTGATTGTTTTTGAGGTATGGCCAAAACCACCACCACATTGTAAAGTAATTATCTTCCAATTAAAATAAATAAGTTAATTTTAAAAAACTACAGCAGATAGTGGAGGACAGAGGAGCCTGGTGTGCTACAGTCCATGGGGTCGCAAAGAGTCAAGCACAACTTAGTGACTGAACAACAACAGGCTTGTGTAAGTTGGATGGCATCATCAACTCAATGGACACAAGTTTGAGCAACTCAGAATACAGTGAAGGACAGGGAAGCCTGGTGAGCTGCAGTCCATGGGGTCTCAAAGAGTCAGACATGACTGAGCAACTGTGCAACCACAATAAAATCCTAGTAACAGACTTACGTGTTTCTGGTACTTAAGAACATGGACTGCAGTACTAGATTTCCTGGGTTTCAATGAAAAATCGATTTCTTACCACCTTTGTGACTTAAGCAAGTAACAAATCCTCTGGCTATCAAGTTTTTTGTTTTCTTTGTTGTTTGGTTTTGGCTATTTTAAAAATTAGAATAGTGATAGCACATACCTCAGTGGTTTATTGTCAGAATTAAGTAATCTATATAAAGCATTTATAATGCTGCTTGGACCGTGGTAAGCACTATATCCTTACTATTACTAAAATTACTAGTATTACTATTACTAGTATCTATCCATTCAAAACTGGGTTTGTGTCCTACATATTTCATGATTTGAAATTTTCGCTTCAGATGTATCTAGGACATTCTTCTAGGTAGATGAAAACTAGATTTAACTCTATTCTTTGTCATAGCTTTGTAATACGGATGATCATACTTCTCTCGAACATTTCTCCCTCTCAAAACTTGTCTTGCCACATTCACAGCATTGCTCTCAGATCAGGTCTGATACGATAGCCTCACAAACAGTGCAGGAAAGGGGAAAACTGACGGAGAGGGGGTGCTCCAGCGTTTCTGCCCAAACCCCACTCCCCTCAGGCCACCACCCCTCTAGCCCAGGAACCAGCTCAGCAGGAAATCACCCCTCTTCTCCCTTGTTGCCTCCTTTTCAAATCTCCAAGCCACCTGTCCATCCCCTTTGTCACTTCTCCACAGATACTTCTCCCATGAGCCAGCTCAGTGAAAGTGAAAGTCGCTCAGTCGTGTCCGGCTCTTTGCGACGCCATGGACTATTCCATGGAATTCTCCAGGCCAGAATACTGGAGTGGGTAGCCTTTCCCTTCTCCAGGGGATCCTTCCAAACAGGGATAGAACCCAGGTCTCCCACATCGCAGGTGGGTTCTTTACCAGCTGAGCTACAAGGGAAGCCAGCGAGAGAGAGAAAATTACGAGTCCCCTGCTCTGGGTGAGTTCAGAGTATCCACACTACTGACAGTACGGAAGCTTTACAGCGTGTGTATGTGTGGTGGGTAGGGGGCTACACCCCAGGGTCTCACGGTGGGCACCATGGCCTCTCTGGGGGATACGGGGAAGTTGGATCAGCGATCCTGCACCCTTGGGAGTCAACAATGGTTCTGGGAAACCTTCCTTGTCATCTGTCTGTCTCCCCGTCTGGGTTTTTCATGTACCCATCTCCATTTGTAGTTTTGTGTAGTGGTGAGCAGCCTTGTGCATCTGTCTTTAGCACTGCTGCTCTGATTGTTGTGAGAAAGGCTGTTAGGTTTGCTGGTCTCAGGATGGGCTCACCTTTGAAACTGAGTCGCCCCTATCAGACTGCTTTCAGATGCTCAGGCCTTTCACACAGTGCTAGTGTTTCCAAAGCCTCTGGGACATTGGATGTCAATTATCTTCATCTTCTCCTCCTCTTCCTCCTTCTTCTTTGCCCCCTACCCCACTTCTTTTCATATAAGCTTATGGAAAACATATATGTTATTTTAATTTCCTGTGGATTGAGCATATTTCCCCAGACTAATTGGCTATTTAAGATTCCTCTTCTGTGACCAGCTTCTCTTAGAAGGGGAGGATTTCAGTGGCTTGAAAGATGAGGGAGCAGGAACAGGAAGAAAGAGGATGGAAGAGAATCTCACGTTAAAGCAGGGCAGGCCCAGGAAGGCCAAGTATCCCGGATGCTGCTGGAGACACGCTAGGAAGTACGGAGCAGCCAGCCCGGAGGCCTTCAACCCCAGGAGGGAGCTCAGATTTCCCCCTGTGGGCAGAGGTGAAGCTCTGGGTCCTCTCTCCTGGGAAATAATACAATCCGTGACTGTAGAAGGATAAAGGTGAGGACAGATACTGATGACGTAGAAGCCGGATCCGTTTTGTCCAGGAATGAATTACTGAGGACCTAAACTAGGTTAGCGACAGTGTGTGTTGGAAACCACGACGGACAGCGTTGTGGCCAGCTGGATGTGGAGCAGGAGGGAGAGGAGACACAACCGTGACTCCTTGCGATTTGCTGTCCCAGCTATTTCTGGACCCCAGGAGGAGCAGGGGCAGGACAAGCCCTTATTAACTGTCTGCTGATTGTATCTTCTCTGTGGGGTGCAGATTACTCTTTAACAACTAGGGACCTCGACCTCAAGCTTATGGAATTTACCCAAGAGGAGCTAATTTGGAGGGGGAAAAGTTAAGACTTTGTAGTTTTAGAGACAGTTACAAATGGCAGAATGTGCTTTCAGTAGAGGTCTTGCGTTTATTAATTATGTCAGGACCAGAGCCTTTGAATCCATGGCTTGGGGAAGGCACAGACAAGGGCTATGCCAAGGATTTTTTCAAGAACCCATCGAAATACTTCACTAAATATAATCATTAGTGTTAGTATTGGCTCTAAAATATGAAACCTGTAAAAATCAGAGTCAATAAACACTTAATCCAGTGTTGGTAAAAATCTGACATTAGATATTTTTCACTTTATAAGAATTCCTTATTATATGCATACTTAAATAGCTTACTCTTAAGTAATTTTAAGCAAAGAATATATATATACATATATATATACTTGTGTGTGTGTATATATATACACATATATATGTATGTATAATAAATAATTGATATATATATATATATATACACACACACACACATATATGGACTTCCCTGGTGGCTCAGACTGTAAAGAATCTGCCTGCAATGCAAGAGACGCAGGTTTGATCCCTGGGTTGGGAAGATCCCCTGGAGAAGGGAATGGCTACCCACTCCAGTATTCTGGCCTGGAGAATCTCGTGGACAGAGGAGCCAGGGGAGCTACCATCCATGGGGTTGCAAAGAGTCTGGGTGACTAAGCACACACGTGTGCATTTATATGCATTTTGTGTATATTTATATATATATATATATTTATACACACACACACACACATATATATAGTAGTTTGTTGTTTAGTTGCTAAGTTACGTCTGACTGTTTTGCAACCCCATGAACTGGAGCCCACACAATGTGTGTGTGTGTGTGTGTGTGTGTGTGTGTGTGTAAAATTATTCTTAATCTAGTAATTTTAAGCAAAGATATATATACACATATATCTGTATATATATATATATACACACATATATATGTAAAATATACTCTAGATCAACTAATTTTGGGCAATGTTTATATATATATAAAATAAATAATGGAAGAGCACTTAACCAATGCTATTCCTTTCATCTTCAAAACAATCCTGTGTGGTAGATGCTATTTTTCCTACTTAATGAATAAGGAGCCCAAGTCTGAGAAAGGTTGCCTGATCTCAGTAAACAGCAGAGCTGAGATTCAAACCCAGACAGCCTAACTCAGAGCCTGAGCTTGTATTAATAATTGCTTTGCCATAATACCTGAGTGAGCATAGTCTCTCACAAGGAAAAAGTGGTAAGGGCCAAAGATAAACACCTAAGGAATCTCTGCATTTTCAGAAGAGGAAAGGGAAGGCCAGGAAGGAAGTGGTTCGAGATTGCAGACAATGAGGTTGGCTATAAGGTTAGAGGTGGTCAGAGCCTCGGGGACCAGGGAACGGCATTGTCCAGAGCCACTGAGTGGTCAGTGAGGATGGTGAGGGCTGATTGTCCTGACTGTTAAACACGTCTGCCCATGAGGGAAGTGCTTCAGTAAAGAGCACATAGAGGAGGTCAGACTGCAGAGTGACTTTAAGCAGGAGGCTCAAGGTGAAGAAGCAGAGGGTTTTTGTGACTGTACATCCATCGACATATACACCTTTTTCTGCTATGTCTGGGTACAAGTAATAATCTGCTATTAATTCATAATGTGTTACTTTCTGCTTTTGGTTTTCTGGCCCCACGCTGAGGTTAGTATGATCAGTGTGAGTGCTGAGTGGGATGGAGCAGGGTGGGGAGACAGCGTGCTGCACCACTGTGTGGGTTTCGTGTGTTTGCTACAATAAAGCACCACAAACTGAGTAGCTTAAAACAACAGGAATGTACTCTGTAGCAGTTCTGGAGGCTTAGATGTTTGAAATCCAAGTGTTGACAGGTGTGGTTCTTTCTGGAAGTTCTGAAGGAGAGTGTTTCACGCGTCTCGCCTACCTCTGGTGTTCGCCAGCAATCTTTGGCATTCCTTGGCTCATAGAGACACCACAGAGACCCTGATGCCTGCCTTCATGTTCTCATAGCCTGTGTGTCTATCCCCTGGGCACCTGTGTCCCAATTTCCTCTTCTTTTAAAGGCTCCAGTCATTAAATTGTATGCTTAGTCGCTCAGTCATGTCTGACTCTTTGCGACCCTTTGGACTGTAGCCCACCACGGATTTCTCATGGGACTTTTCAGGCACGAATACCAGAGTGGGTCACCATTTCCTTCTCCAGGGTATTTTCATGACTCAGGGATCAAACCAGCATCTCCTCTCCTGCATTGCATGTGAATTCTTTGCCTGCTGAGACATCAGGGAAACCCAGTCATTAGATTAGAACCCACTCCAACCCACTATGGCCACACCGTAACGTGGTTACATCTGCAAAGACTCTATTTCCAAATGAGGTCATACAGGTACTGGGAGTTAGTTCTTGAACGTATGTCTTTGGAGACACAGTTCTGCTTTTGTTCTTCACTTCTGTTTGTTTCCTTCTGTGACGGAAAAGCGTGGAGCTTGTTTAGTTTGACAGTAAGAGTGTTAACGGACAGGGCCCAACAAGGTCTCCTGGGTTGGAGACACCGACATCTCCGGTGAGTGCTCGAGTCTGTTCACAGCGTCAGTCTCATCTGCTCAGTGGGAAGCGCTGCCCCAGCTAGGGATGAGTGAACCACTTGGCTCGCTTGTCTGTTCACCCATTCTTCAGCAGACTGAGTCTTTGCTTTCCTCTCTGCAGAAGCCGGTCCAGCCATGGCGACTCCGTCCGCTGCCTTCGAGGCCCTTATGAATGGAGTGACAAGCTGGGATGTCCCCGAAGACGCCGTCCCGTGTGAACTGCTCCTTATTGGAGAAGCCTCCTTCCCGGTGATGGTGAATGACATGGGCCAGGTCCTCATCGCGGCCTCCTCCTATGGCCGAGGGCGCCTGGTGGTCGCGTCCCACGAGGACTACTTGGTGGAGGCCCAGCTCACCCCCTTTCTCCTCAACGCAGTGGGTTGGCTTTGCTCTTCCCCCGGGGCGCCCGTGGGTGTACACCCCTCCCTGGCACCCCTGGCCAAAATCCTGGAGGGCTCTGGAGTGGAGGCAAAGGTTGAGCCGGAAGTGAAAGACTCCCTGGGGGTTTACTGCATTGATGCCTACAATGAAACCATGACTGAGAAGCTGGTCAAGTTCATGAAACGTGGAGGAGGCTTGCTCATTGGAGGCCAGGCCTGGGATTGGGCCAACCAGGGCGATGATGAGAGGGTTCTGTTCACGTTCCCGGGGAACCTCGTGACCAGCGTGGCCGGTGTGTACTTCACCGACAACAAAGGGGACACGAGTTTCTTTAAAGTCTCTAAGAAGATGCCCAAGATCCCAGTCTTAGTGAGGTGAGTGCATTAGCCCAGTGGGACGCTGGTCCCAGGTTAAAAAGCAGACAGATGGGTCCTGTCTTCAGACTACTCCCAGGCTAACAGAAGAGAATTTGGCATTCAAGCATAGATTCATCATAAATCAACTGGAGTGTTAAAATACCCTGAGACACAGGAAGGGCAGGGTCCCTTGTTGCTGCTACCTTTTCAGACCAGGTGATTTAGCACTTGGATGGGAGAAACTTCTTAGTAACCATTCTGTCCCCCAGCATCTAGCTTAGTAAAATGTATAGTGTAGTGTAGTAGTGTTAGCCGCTCAGTTGTGTCCGACTCTCTGCAATCCCACAGGCTGTAGCCCGCCAGGCTCCTCTGTCCATGGGATTCTCCAGGCAAGAATACTGGAGTGGGTTGCCATTCCCTTCTCCAGAGGATCTTCCTGACCCTGGGATCAAACACAGGTCCCCTGCATTGCAGGCAGATTCTTTACCATTTGAGCTACAGGGAAGACCTAATAAACTGTATATATTGCTGAATCTCGGGGTTGGCATGACTGATCCAGGAAGGTCATAGGTCAAGGTTGCTTACAAATGAAATGTAAGGAAAAGGAAAACAGACAAAGTCTAGAGAGCTGTGGGAAAGGTTTTGAAACATCCAGCCAGATGGGATTAGGATGGAAGTAAGAGCTAGAGAATCCAAAAGCTGAGATACCAGAAAGGTAGCACAACTCATATATGCTAATCTTAAATCTTAGAGATGATTTTATCTCTGGGAGTAAAACACATGATGATGGAGAATGAAGGAGGCAGGTGATGGATGCTGAGACAGGCTCCATGGAAAGTTCTTTGAGGGCATCACCCAACCTGTTCCATTCACATTGTCCTCCAGCACCTCATACAGTGTTGAACATGGTTAGCAGATGCTCAGTAAACATGTGTTGGATGGATGAAGAAAGAGATGAGAAGCTGGAATAGTCCTAGCAGTAGAAAAATCACACCAGGCCCTGCCCTATATTGTACATGAAGACTCTCAGCATGCTTGGAGCAAAAAGCATAGGTATTTCTGACTGACGGGAGCAGAGCAAGGTGAGGTTGGACTGGGTGAGGCGGGCACACCAGGGTTAGTGTAGAGACTTCGGGGAAGAGCTGTGGCCTGTCCTTGGCATGGCACTCCTGGAGCACCCCACAGCTCCATACCCAATGTGCAGTGAGAAAAGAGTTGTTCAGAGACACAGGGTTGATCAAACTTCCACTTACAAAGATCTCCATTCTAAGGAACAGCAAGGTAAAACCTGAGCCGAATTCCACTAACAGCATAATCCCCTTTAGTTGAGTTCATTTCCTTAAAAGATGTGTTTCTCTATCAAAACCATACCTGTTTTTTCTTTGGTTATGCCTATATCTCTCTGAATCTGAATTTTTTTTTCTTTATGGTTAAATCATGCATGTGTGTGCATAGAAGTGGATCCGCACATTTCAAACCTATGTTGTTCAAAGGCCAGCTATATTTTTGAATGATGATGATTCTTCATGGCATACTCTTTTAAACTACTTTTTCAATATTGCTGGATCCCTTGCTTTCTAATTTTTATTTTAAAATTATTAAATCATAACCCCACAATGTAACTCTTTTCATCTCTGTACATTATCTTTCCTATACATTCATAATTTTACACCCTTGTCATCTTAATATACATGCTGTTTTGAATTCTGCTCATACACATTTTTCATTCTGTGTGATCTTTAAAATTATTAAAATTATAAAATAGAAAGATTACACTTTATGTAATCTTTAAAAAATATAAAAATAATTATATATTATTACATGCTGTGTAATCTTTAAAATTGGCATTTATGTGAATGCTAATATATACCTCATTTATTTAATCATTTGCTTTCTATTGAAGATTTGGATCTTTCTTCAGCCATATTGTAATTATATAATACTGTATTACATATCATCAGTTCATTTTAGAAGTATCAGACAACACTGGATACCAACATGCTTCTATTAGAATTGAAGAAGAGAGGTTATTTCCATCACTGGCAAGTTCAAGTTCACATTGAAAGTCCCTGTGGGTTTAGTTACTCTGCCCAGATGTCTTGTTATTTGTTTTTAAACCCACATTTGAACATGCAAGTGTGAATTAAGATAGCTTTGACTTTGTTACTTGCACATTTCTTACTAAATTACATACTAAATAAGATCTTGGGATAAATTTTCTAAGAGTAAACTGTCCACGTGTCTTATCAAAATGAATCAAATTTTCATCAGAAGAAATTACTACTTTTATGATCATAAAAATAAAACCCTAAGTGACAAAACCAGATGATCCACTTTGAGCCTGGTAAGAACACCCACAGATGTCAGGGCACAAGCCTCAGAGGCACTGCCCTGACTTCCTGCGTGGAAAGCACCATGGTCTCCTTGTAGAGCACCAGCCACCATGTGGCAGGAGGAGAAGGGGACGACAGAGGATGAAGTGGTTGGATGGCATCACCAGCTCGCTGGATGTGAGTTTGAGCAAGCTCTGGGAGTTGGTGATGGACAGGGAAGCCTGGCGTGCTGCAGTCCGTGGGGTTGCAAAGAGTCGGACACAACTGAGCGACTGAGCTGAGCTGAAGCCACCGTGTTGTCTGTGTGACCACACCACCGGTGCTCTGTTCCCTGAACGATGTCTACTCTTCCTTCTGCTTATCCTCACTGGCCTCCACTGTACCTGCAGGTCTGAGGGCAATGGCTGTTGTATTTGTGTGCAGAACCACCTTCATTCTATTAAGTATTCATTTGGACAAATACTGGATCCACTGTCATAAACACTGCCTCATTTCAAGACTCTGGATACTGGGAAAAGCACCATTTTAGTGGAGGCCAACCTTAATAAGTTCCTAAATAATGTCTGTTGCTTGCTCTAAAACCTAGAGCCACAGATAAGCCTCATCTTAAAGTAGGATTAATAATGACTACCTTTAAGGGTGGTTGTAAGAATTCAGTGAATGAAGAAACATGCTCAGAGTACCTAAAACACTTTAGTTGTTTTGACATCAGCCTTCATGTTATGGTATATAAGCATATGAGGCCATGAATATCGTTTCCGACCATTGAGATGTACCTGGAATCCATTGTTATGCTGCTTTGCCCCAAGTCATATGTTCTGCTCCAGTTGTTTGAGCTATTGATATCTTAACTGATGCTTTTCATATTTCCTCCATCAAACTGAGGCAGCAGCAGCAGAACCAGCTGCCTTGTTTTATCCTCTTTATGCATTTAATCAAGCAAGGACTAGACACGGGATTGGCTTTACCAATAACGGGACTTGACACTGATTAAACATATCATTAGGTAATCAGTCTAAGGGAGGTTTCGGGAGACTCAACCACAATGGTTTGCTCTATTTTTTTAATAAGAAGGCCCTTGTCCCATTTTGACACAAATCTCGGACTTCTGTTAGAGTTCTTATTCTGTGTTTGCTCATTCATTCATTCATTTAGGGCAGCGTTTTTGTTGAGTATATGCTATAATCTCAGGCATTATTTCTTATTTCAAGAAAATGATTTCCAAAGATCTGAGAATCAGAAGTGCAGAAACATCTCCAATAACCAGGCTTGGAGGAAATACAAAAAAAACAAGTCCCTGTTGTAGGAAGAGGGCTGTGATATCTGGGCTCAGAAGAACTCAGAAACCTGAGGTTGCTGCTAGCAACTGCACACCGTGCCAGTGTGCTTTCCACTGTCTTTCTACCTTTAAATGGAAAGTGCTTGAGTATAGTAGAAGGTCCTTGCCCTCATTTCAGCTATTACTCCATTGAGGCTGGTTTTCAGTCTTCAGGGATCTGTGTGTATTCACAATCATCAGAGATACAGAGAAAAGAATGTAGAACAACAGCCATGCTTTGAAATGTACACATGCTCCGAATTCCTTGGCTTGAAAACACTCCTGTGAAACCTGAATTGGCAGACATTAGAAATTGATGTCATAGATAGATAGATAGATAATCTCCACTTCATTTTGAAAGATAGTCAAGGGATATTATATATAAAACAGTCTTTTGAATTCTAGATTATAAAAATATCAGAATTTTGAAAATTGACTATCTATGTGAAATAAGTAGTACAAATGAAACAAGAAGCCTGCCAAATTACTGAAGATAACATGAATATGACTTCCCAGGTAGTTCTGAAAACAACTGAACTCAGGTCTCCTGCATTGCAGGCAGATATAATATCTGAACAGATATTAATAAACTAATTTGTAACAAGGATCCACAAGTCCTTGGAAGTCATTGCTAGGATAGATAGAATGCTAACTGCCGATGTTAAGTCAGGGTCATGACCCAGTGAGGTGGGGTGAACGTACATACCTACCAAACCCTGTGCTTCTTACTACATTCCTAGCCATATATAATAAAATTGTATTAACTGGTTCTCACAAAATAAACTAGAAGTTTTTAGAGAGTGAATTCAAGTGGGAAGATGTGCCACTTTAGGAGAGAAATTGCTAAATCACAATTCAGTTTTCTTTTCCTTTCTATAAACATTTTCCCTTCTTCAATTTCAAAATATATGCTTACTGGGAAAAAGGGAAATAGACCCAAAGGATGCAGAGTAAAAAGTGAATGACTTTCGTCCCCCACCTCTGCCTCTTATGAATTCTTCTTCTGCCCAGAGGTAATCACTGCCTACAGTTTGCACTGTGTCTTTTTTGATACTAACTCTGTATGAATTCTTTCAGAAATAAGAGGATAGGAAAGTTTTTGTAACTTGATTTATTAAACCAGTGTTTCTCTGATACTAAAGCCAAAGAAAGACATTGCAAGATAAGAAAACTCAAAACAATGTCCCTCATGAACATAGATGCAAAAATTCTTAATAAAATATTGTAAATAGATTATGATATGTAAAAAGGATAATACATCATGACAAATAAGGCTTATTCTAGGAATGCATGGCTGGTTTAACATTCAGATATCAAATTAATTAACAGTTTAATTATTTTCTTAATACAAAATAAATGAGAAACATCATATAATTCAATAGATGCACACAGAAAAAAAAACTGACAAAATTCAATATCAAATCATAATAAAACTTCCACAAACCAGAAATAAAAAGGAACTTCTCAATGTGATGAGTCCTTTTTGAAAATCCAATAGCCAAGAATATACTTTCTAATGAAATACCCTGAGATTGAGAACAAGGCCAGGAAGGATATTTTTATTTAACATTGTACTTAAGTTTCTAGCTAGTGCAGTAAGGCAAATAGGAAGGCATAGAGATTAAAATTAAGAAACACACCTATGTTTGTTTGTAGAAAACATGATTATCTATATAAAATATTCTTAAAACTCTGCAAAAAAAGTTACTATAATAATTGAGTTTAGCAAGATTTCAGGATACAAAGTCAATATACAAAAATATATTTTTATATACTAGTAATTGGTCATTGAAATTAAAAATACACTATCTGTTAAGACAGGGCCCCAAATCATGAAATACTAGCAAATAAATTTAATAAAATGTGTCACACAACATGTATGCTGAAAACCACAAAACATCACTGTGAGAAATTAAATAAAACCTTAAGAAATAGTGAAATACACTATGTTGCTGGATCAGGACACTCAATATTTTTAAGATGTCAGTTTTTCCCCAAATTATCTATACATTCAGTGCAATCCCAACCAAAGTTCAGACTGGTTCTAAATTTAGATGCAAATGAAACTAACGAAATTTCCAAACTTACAAGAAAGCTAAAGTGATCAAAACACTGTATAATAGTTGTCAGTCTTTTCTATTATCACCTCTGATTCGAGGTCATAATTAGAATGCTTTCGTCACATCTAGATAGTAAAAGGACAGGGAAGCCCGGTGTGCTGCAGTCCATAGAGTTGCAAAGAGCTAGACACGACTGAGCGACTGAACAATGAATAGCAAAAATAATGAAAGATTCCACTCTTAGTTTCTTCCAGTGCATGTGTGGTTTCATTTTTAAAATTTATATCTCTGATATAGTTGAAAATTTTTCTGTGTATTTGTGTGACATCTGGGTCCAGTTCATCTTTTCCCAGTAATATAAAATGCCACCTTTTATTATACACTAGTACCCATGTTCACCGTGTTGCCTTTAATTTTTTAACAAATGTACATTTTTCTGAGTTGAGAATTAACTTGTTTTTATAATCTACCTTTTCACTCAAAACAAGAATTCTGTTTCTTCCATCCTTGCAGTTTTCTTCACTCCTTACTGCCCAAGTTGTTTTGAAATCATCTGGTTTTCTGGTTGTAATTTGGTTTTACCTTAGCTTTGTTTCTTTGTTCACTTTGTTTTTAACACTGTGGCTCATATTAATTCAGAATGATTTCTTGCCGATTACATCAAATGTCACAAGAACTTTATCAGCAGTTTTTCAGCATTAGTTATACAACACATTGGCACTTTTGCCCACCACTGCTTCGTGTAGACAATCTGTTCCTATATTGTATTTATTTTTGTTTTTCTAGACCTACAGCGTAACCTCAAGTAACTTCTCTGAAAAACTTTAGTGAGTGGTGAATTTCATAAGTCCTTTTGACACTTTCAGTATTCTCTATGCAGTGAAGAGTCTTACTGAAGCTATGTGTCACACAGAAATATTTTCATTGCACTGAGATACTATTTTTAGGGCACTGATTTCACTTTTTTCATTGTAAGTAATTTGGTTTTTGCTTTTCTTTGTACTCTGAAGCTCATAAACTTGCTATGAACTGACCAGACCTTCTCTATTTCATTTATACTGGTTTGCATTCATATAGTCAGTTCAGTTCAGTTGCTCAGTCATGTCCAACTCTTTGCGACCCCGTGGACTGCAGCATGCCAGGCTTCCCTGTCCATCATTAACTCCCAGAGCCTTCTCTAACTCATGTCCATCGAGTCAGTAATGTCATTTCATTCTAAAAACTCAGATCTTTTTTTTTTCAGCACAAAGAAATTTTCATAAAATTAAGTGTTTATTTCTTCTTTGTTCTTTGCTTTTAGAACTGCTTGATAGCCATTAGTCTTCTTATCTATCATTCATTTTCTCTTAATGAATCACTTCACTCAACCTGTCTGTTGGTTTATTCATAGTCTTCAGCTACATCAGTACTTATTTTTCTGCCCTTGTATTAAATAGGATTATCTATTTGGCAGTTATATTTTTATTCTGATTATTAAGTTTTTATAGTAGCCTGTCTCTTCTTTTTTTCCTGCAGAGAGATAGTATATCTAAAAACTCTCCAATGATATACAATATTTATTTAGGACCTTCTCCAGGTATCACTTATTTTGGAGGGAGTTGGTTTTCCCTTTGTTTAGTTTGTTGCTTATATTTAGTTTAGTTGCTTATATTTCATGCTATTAATTTTCATCAATTATTTTTTATTTCTGTTCAAGTGTTAAATGGCACTGAATTTCTAGATTGGTCATTATTGGTTACTGAAGTACATTTTCTCAGGACAAATGATAACCCCTGTTGTTTTTGTTTTCTTGATCTTCTCTTTCACTTATGTGCAGTTCCAGATTCTTCTTTTCTCATGGATTTCTGATCAGTTTGGTTTATATTTCCTATTAATTCCTCCTGTCCCTGTTTGCTGATTGCACTCTTCTTGAAATTTAGTACTATCATGGTTTTATTCTTTTTTATGTAACTTTTTGTTTCATTTCAGAACAGAGAGGGACAGGAAAAGTAAAAATCCACTTAAGGTTTTTTAATGAAAACAATCATTTGTCTTCCCCTGCACATAAGTCGTGGCTGTTGGAATTAACAGACAAAACTCTGATGATGTCCCAGCCTCATCAGTGAGCAGGACCTCACCTAGGATCCTGCTGATGAAGCCCTACTATTGACACAGTGCCTGGGTCTTGACTTGACACATTCAGTGTTTCTTATTTTGTTGTAACAGGCTAGTGTATAAACCTTAATGCCAAGGTAGATCACCTCTTTACTGACTGCACTTGTAAGACAATTAATTGCATGAAATTTATGAACAGAACTCATTATAAGAACTAAAACATTTTTTATTTAATTTTGTATACATAATCTTTGTGTATGTTTAATTTGCTGATTTTTATTGTATATATTATTAATATATATATCAATATTGATTGGGCTTCCCTGGTGGCTCAGATGGTAAAGAATCCGCCTGCAATGCGGGAGACCTGGGCTCAATCCCTGGGTTGGGAAGATCCCCTGGAGGAGGGCATGGCAACCCACTCCAGTATCCTTGCCTGGTGAATCCCCATGGACAGAGGAGCCTGGCGGGCTACAATCCATGGAGTCACAAAGAGTCAGACACAGCTGAGTGACTAAGCACACATTATTATCAATTATATACAATAATAATTTTATGTATAATATACAATATTATATACAATACAATTAACATTTTATTATATATTGTATTTTGTATATTGTATGTTATATATGCAAATATATACAATGCAATTATTTATATATAATAATATTAATATATATAATCACAAAATTAAAGATATACTAAGATGTTGCTGGAGAAATATAAATGTCACAAAAAATAGAACACTCTGGCTGCTCTATAAAGAAAGAATGACTTCTTTCTTTAGGCAAATGATCACTGGAAGCAACATTGTAATCACAAGGTTGTCTGGTGATTAGGCAAATGATCACTGGAAGCAACATTGTAATCACAAGGTTGTCTGGTGATTTTGCAATCAGAGCAAAAACAGCTGAATGAGTGGTTTTAATGCTAGTGCTTCAAGGAGCTGGAGAGCCATCTTACAGGGTGATGCCTTTATCTTCAGGAAAGGTTTGGGCCTGCTGAGAGGACTGAAGTTTCCCCATCAGTTAATTACAGCTCTGCCAACACAGAGGGTACAACACAAATACTACAGACATGCTGCTACCTGACCCCCATTTTTCAGTGTTTCCTTACAGCTCCCTCTGACCATACAGTCACTCAGAGTTAATGAGAAGGGCTTAACCAGCTCTGGGATCTCAGGCTTAGAGAGAGAGATCACTCTACCTCATTCCCTTCATAATCCCACTGTCGGGGGCTGAATCCCCATTTGGGGGTTATAGGTGTCCCAAAGCCTTATAAGAGTTTGTTACCCTTAGAAGGACCACTTGAGTTTCCCCGATGGTTCAGCAGGTAAAGAATCTGCCTGCAGTGCAGGAGACGCTGGTTCGATCCCTGGGTCAGAAACATCCCCTGGGGGAGGAAGCGGCAACCCACTGCAGTATTCTTGGCTGGAGAATCCCACGGACAGAGGAGCCTGGGGAGCTCCATCCAAAGGGTTGCGAAGAGTCAAACACGACTGCGCATGCTCACACACAGAGACGGAAATAGTTGTGATGAGAAAAGCCTTATAGCATGGATATACATCCCTCCTGTTGGGCCGGACGTGAATGTATGGAATTCTGGGTGTAGACACTCAGTCCTCTTGGGTTCAAGTAACAGGAGGGTCTCACAAGAGTTGAGGCCCAGCTCCCTGCCCCACCTTTGAGATTATAGTGGTTCTTCACTCGAGCCCCTAACTCACTCAGCTCTGTGTTGGCTTTATTTGCAGAAAGTTAGTGGCATGAAATTATAAACAAGCCCCCTTAGAATGAAACAACAATTTCTCCTTCAGTTCTTTATATGGGGCTTAAAAGGCTGGACAGACACTTAAATCCAGACTATTTAAGATACAGTATTGAGTAAACCCAGCAGGACTTCTTTCAAGATTTCCTTTGGAGGGTTAATACACAGAGAACGACAGAGCAGAATCAATGTCGAGGCGCTCTGTCTTCCCTCCAACAAGTCTCCACACTCAGTGAGCTCAGGTCTGTCGTCCTAATTCTCTCCTAAGAGCTAAAGATGAGATTCCTAAGTCGGACGCTTGCTACGTGCTGGGTGCTGTGCTGAGCACTTTGTAACAGAGAACATGTGTGTCTTTTGCAGTTGTGAGGATGATCTCTCTGAGGACAGAGATGAGCTCCTGCACGGGATTTCCGAGCTGGACATCACCAATTCGGACTGTTTCCCATCCCAGCTGCTAGTGCACGGGGCCTTAGCCTTCCCCCTGGGCCTAGATTCCTACCACGGCTGTGTCATAGCAGCTGCCCGCTACGGCCGGGGCCGGGTGGTCGTGACCGGCCACAAGGTCCTATTCACCGTGAGTAAACTGGGCCCCTTCCTGCTCAACGCCGTCCGCTGGCTGGACGCGGGCCGCAGAGGCAAGATCGTGGTGCAGACAGAACTGAGGACTCTGAGTGGGCTGCTCGCCGTGGGGGGCATAGACACCAGCATCGAGCCCAATCTGACCAGCGATGCCAGCGTCTATTGCTTTGAGCCCGTGAGCGACGTCGGGATCAAGGAGCTGCAGGAGTTCGTCGCCGAGGGCGGGGGCCTGTTTGTCGGAGCGCAGGCCTGGTGGTGGGCCTTCAAGAACCCAGGCGTGTCCCCTTTGGCGCGGTTCCCAGGAAACCTCCTCCTCAACCCCTTTGGCATTAGCATCACCAGCCAAAGCCTCAACCCGGGGCCCTTTCGTACCCCCAAGGCGGGGATAAGGACCTACCACTTCCGTTCCACCCTGGCTGAGTTCCAGGTTATCATGGGCAGGAAGAGAGGGAACGTGGAGAAGGGCTGGTTGGCCAAGCTGGGCCCCGACGGCGCGGCTTTTCTGCAGATCCCCGCCGAGGAGATCCCCGCCTACATGTCGGTGCACCGGCTCCTAAGGAAGCTGCTGAGTCGCTATCGGCTCCCAGTGGCGACCCGTGAGAACCCCGTCATCAACGACTGCTGCCGGGGTGCCATGCTGTCCCTGGCCACGGGGCTCGCTCACTCCGGAAGCGACCTCTCTCTGTTAGTCCCCGAAATTGAAGACATGTACAGCAGCCCCTATCTGCGCCCCTCGGAGTCGCCCATCACCGTGGAGGTCAACTGCAACAATCCGGGTAAGGAAGGATGGGTGGATGGGAGCCCGGCGGGTAGGAACGTGGTGGGGATGACTTCCGCAGCTCAGCTGAGGTCTGGGCACCTCCGGGGCCATCTCCAACCTCTGCCATGCAATCTCGATGAGGTGGAGGTTGGGGTTTTAGGGAATGCTTGGAAGATGAGAGCCAGAGCAGCAGGGAGGCAGAGCCCCTGGAGGGTCTTTGGAAGCTGGGTGCAGATGGAATTGTGTGGGGGAGGATAACGCCTGCTCTTCCCTGACTCTTGGCAGGCACCAGGTACTGCTGGATGAGTACCGGGCTCTACATACCCGGAAGGCAAATTATTGAGGTCTCCCTGCCTGAAGCCGCTGCCTCTGCTGACCTGAAGGTAAGGCATGCCCCATCTCCCAGCATAACACAGAAGCCAGATGCTCCTGCTTTCATAGTCGGCATCTTATTCAATCCTCCTGCACACCCTACTGGCAATGTTGTTGTTAAGTTGTGTTAAGTCTCTCAGTTGTGTCCGACTCTTTGCGGCCCCATGGACTGTAGTCTACCAGGCGCCTCTGTCCATGGAATTTTCCAGGAAAGATGACTGGAGTGGGTTGCATTTTCCTCTCCAGTTGACAACACAGGGCATGTATTTCTGCCCTTTAGTTGCTTAGGATGAAACAGCTAAGGGGCAGAACATCTAACTGATTGACTTAAATGTATGGATTTAATACATTTCAGAGCCCAAGGGCTCAACCCCGACCAACTTCTGGCCGAAGTGTGGTGTTTTAGCTTAAATGTCATGGGTGGGGAGAAGAAAGATACCAGATGGCTAGTGCCCTAGAATACAGTGGCATCCAGTAACCCTCAGTTCACATTTCATCCCATGTACATCTCACACAGAAGCACGAGGTGCTACACATTCAGGCTTCTTCCCTATGACATCACACACTTGCCCAGTCCACTCCGGCTCTGTCACTTTCTCACACACTCACACACACACACCGTGTTTGCAAAATTCAGATACCGTCCTTCTCTGTCCCCCTTGAGGGTCATTGTGATGGCTAGCATCCATTTTGTTTTTTGTGCCTGTATCTGTTCTGGAACTTGTTTAGCCATAAACTCCGGAAAACAGTCCCAGGACACTGCTGAGGACAGGGGTCACTCCACTGGCCCAGGAACAGGGGCCTTGGAGAACAGGAAGAACTGAATCAATCCTTCCCTGCATCAGCCGGTCACACTGCTTCCTCCTGGGCCTTCTCTCTGGTCAGAAGGCAGGATGCTCTCTGCCCGGAACTTCCCAAAGCCAGATTCACCACCATGGAACAGGCAGCCTGAGATTCTTTGTTACAGAGACACCCAGGGACTCTGGGTGGGAGTGGCTCTGCCCGGAATTAGCGTCTGAGTCACACCTGGTGCCCCTCCGGCCTGCGTCTCAGCAGGACCCTTCGTAGAGCGGTTTGACCCCGTGAGAGTAGATTTACAGGGTCTGTTCCACACGACCTTGGAGGGGGGGGTACACTTCCATGGGTTTCGAACACGGCTTACAAGTGGTGGGATGCCTGGACTTACCTGAGGTTCCTGGACCCATGACCCTTCCTGTCCCCCTGTCCCGGGCACTGTCCCCTTCTGCCCACACGCGCCCCAGGGTCACACTGCTCGGGGATCTCTCTGCTCCAGATACAGATTGGCTGCCACACCGATGACCTGACCAGGGCCAGCAAGCTGTTCCGAGGCCCCCTGGTGATTAACCGCTGCTGCCTGGACAAGCCCACCAAGTCCATCACGTGCCTCTGGGGGGGCCTCCTGTACATCATCGTGCCTCAGAGCAGCAAGCTGGGCACCGTGCCCGTCACGGTTAAGGGAGCTGTGCATGCTCCCTACTACAAGCTCGGTGAGTGGACGCCTTGGAGCGAACCCGAGACACATGGAGAGCGGGCAGTGAGGAGGCTCTCTGGGGCTGCCTGGTGTAGGAAGAGAGAGAGGTTCGGACTGGCAGAGGGAAGGGAGGTCTGCTTCCTTAGGTTTGAGGCCAAGGAGATAAAGACCAAACCACGTCACATCCCTGGAACCTTTGTGGAAGAACGTTAGAGGGGTATGTGGTTGTTGACGGCCTTGGTGTTCTCCTACTGGGGGGGTTCAAGTGGTGTGTATTAACGGGAGGGACTTGGGAAAGTGAGTTTCAAGCCCTGTGGCCTGTCTTCCAGGGGAGACAACCCAGGAGGAGTGGAAGCGGCAGATCCAGGAGAACCCAGGTCCCTGGGGAGAGCTGGCCACGGACAACATCATCCTGACGGTGCCAACCGCGAACCTCCGCACCCTGGAGAACCCCGAGCCGCTGCTCCGCCTCTGGGACGAGGTGATGCAGGCCGTGGCCCGGCTGGGGGCCGAGCCCTTCCCGCTGCGTCTGCCTCAGAGGATCGTTGCCGATGTGCAGATCTCAGTCGGTGGGTGCCCAGGGCAAACCTCTGTGCATGCTGCCCCCCTCAGGGCCTTGCTTTATCAGATGGCACTAGTGGGAAAGAACCAGCCTGCCAGTGCAGGAGACGCGAGAGACGCGGGTTTGATCCCTGGGTTGGGAAGATTCCCCTGGAGGAGGAGAAGGCGATCTGCTCCAGTATTCTTGCCTGGAAAATTCCATGGACAGAAGAGCCTGGTGGGCTACAGTCTATGGGGTCACAAAGAGTCAGACACAACGGAAGTGACTTAGCACATGCGATGTGATCCTTGCCATTTAAATGGAAAGGGAGAAAATACATTAAAAAGGAGACTGGGCTGTCTCCCCCAGCAAAACATCAGAAACTACCTAAGTGTCCAACAGTCACAGGAGGGTTAATTAATGTACTTTCGATGGATGTTAGGAAGACATGTAAAGAGAGATTTTGATGACATAGGAAAACATGATGAGATTAATTAGTGAAAGTTGCTCAGTTGTATTCAACTCTTTGTGACTCTGTGGTCTGTAGCCTACCAGGCTCCTCTGTCCATGGGATTCTCCAGGCAAGAATACTGGAGTGGGTAACCCTTCCCTTCTCCAGGGGATCTTCCCAACCCAGGGATCGAACCCAGGTCTCCCGTGTTGCAGGAGGATCCTTTACCAGCTGAGCCACCAGGGAAGCGTTATGTGACACATAAAAAGCAGGCCCTAGAACCATACGTACATGAGTTTGAGCAAACTCCAGGAGATGGTGAAAGACGGGGAAGCCTGGTGTGCTGCAGTCCATGAGGTTGCAAAGAGTCAGACATGACTGAGTGACTGAACAGCAAACAACTATATGTACGCAGTATGTTAAAATATGTAACAGTTTTAGTCAGCATGTCAGGAGATGTTATCCAACAGTGAAAATGGTGCAGACAGTAAGGGCTGGCTTTCATAGACATTTGTCAGGGGACTTTAGGGAGTGGAGAAAGATAGCAGAGGGCCTCTTCCTGGGTCACAGGGGTTGGGAGAAAGCACTGAATAAAGGGCTCGTTGCCAGTGGGTCAGGAAGCCTGAAAATTGAAGAGTGTGTGAAAATTAAAGAGCCATGGAAATCCCCCCTGGACCCTGTTGTCCTTGGCGTACTCAGATGATCACCGTAAAGAAGTGCCAGCGTGGACAGCTCCATAATGAGGAGGGGACCACAGGTTCTCATTTTGAGGAAAAGAGTATAATGACGGGGCCACATGGACAGAGCACTCCCAGAGAAACAGGAAAAAAATTGAATAGTAATGTAGACAGTGATCCAAAACCTGCCTCAGTACCTATGGCCGGTCAGAGTGAGGATGAAGCATTCTTACAGAATGAGAAGATAAGGAGGAAAGCCTGGAAGGGCCTGGCTTTGCCTTTCTGAACATTCTGGGTGTTTGGGGAGATACAGTAGAGAGAAGAATTAGGCGGGTGGGGAGCGCCCTAACCCTCTCTCCCGCTCCTGCCTTTCCCAGGCTGGATGCACGCAGGCTACCCCATCATGTGCCACCTGGAGTCGGTGCAGGAGCTCATCAGTGAGAAACTCATCAGAACCAAGGGCCTCTGGGGCCCCGTGCATGAGCTGGGCCGCAACCAGCAGCGGCAGGAGTGGGAGTTCCCCCCGCACACCACCGAGGCCACCTGCAACCTGTGGTGTGTCTACGTGCACGAGACGGTCCTGGGCATCCCTCGAGGACGAGCCAACATTGCTCTGTGGCCCCCGGTTCGGGAGAAGAGGGTCCGCATTTACCTGGGCAAGGGTCCCAATGTGAAAAACTGGAATGCCTGGACGGCCCTGGAGACGTACTTACAGGTACTGGGCCAGCGTGGAGGGGGGGTTTCGGCGGGAGCCCCACTGCGGGGGACCCTGGGCAGACAGTATCGTGGTGACCGGGGGTCACCTCACTAATCTGCAGCTCACCCCGGGCTGCGGGAGGCTCTGACAAAGTCCAGGGGTGAAGGTCCTAGTGGATGATAACCCTCGGCATCCCTTTGCAGCACCCGAAAGCGGATGTAATTGTATCAGCCCTGCCATTCACCCTGGGATTTTGAAGAGATTTATGAGAGTAGATAGAAAGCTCTGGGAGATAGTAAAGGGCAGGGAAGCCTGGTGTGCTGCAGTCCATGGGGTCGCAAAGAGTCAGACATGACTGAGTGACTGAACAAAATCAGAAAGCAGTAAGAAAGCTTAAAAGTGGTAGAGGCAAAGGTAATACTACAAATATAGCTACTGTCACGGCTTTAAACCCAGGCATACCTGAGACCGAAACCAAACTGCTGTCTAAGTAGCTCGCTAAAGCCAGTCACACTTCCATGGGCACACACACTCAGACACAATGTGTGGGATAGGAGCTGTTTTTTTCCCCTAGGTCAGTAAACAGTCTTCTCATTATGATTTGTCTGTGCCTCAGTTTCCATGTTATAAGCAAGCCATGATTCCTCACTGGACTGGACGTGGGGGCGGCCCCTGCCTTTCAGTTATCACCCAGCACCCAGTTCCAGCCCCCCCAGTCCCTGGATCTGTTCCCAGCTCACTGTGGAGGGTTTTATCACCTTGGGTCCTGGAACTCAGCCTCAGGCCAACCGCACCCTCTTCTGGTCCCTCCACCTGCTCAAGTTCTCACTGTTGATTCCCTCCACCATGAAAACGACAGGGAGACTTCCAAGAGACTGTTGTAACCCTGTGTTGGGACAGAACTTCCTCCTCGGTGAAGTCGAATTGAGGTTGGAACTGCTAATGTCCCTCTGAGTTCCCGAGCTCTATACCCCAACCTACTGCGGGCTGTTTCCAATGGCACCAAGATGGCTGCCTTTTCCTAAAATTCTGCCTTGCTCTTAACTCTGGCCACCTAGACGATAGATGGCCCAGCAGGTAAAGGATCCACCTGCAGGGCAGGAGACCCAGGAGATGTGAGTTTGCTCCTTGAATGGGGAAGATCCCTGGAGGAGGAAATGGAAACCCACTCCAAGTATTCTTGCCTGGGAAATCCCATGGACAGAGGAGCCTGGCGGGCTGCAGTCCCTGGGGTCACAAAGAGTCGGACACAACTGAGCCCAGGGCACACACAGACTATATATTGTCCTTGCTTTTACTGGACTCCCTTTTTTTCCTAAAGACCATTTTGGTCACCTTGCAAATTGATAGAGACCTCCTGCTAATGCAGATTATGTCAGGTCAAGGTGGCAGTTCCCAGGTTGTGGGGGTTTAACTTTACAACCGTGAGAGACAATGGATTTTTGCTCTTCAGCCAATTTTAAATCTTCATGTAATATCCTATTAGTACTGTCATAGTCTAGTGAGACAGCTGAATAATGATATTGGTAGTAAATCCTGATATTAATCAGTGCAGTTTTGACCACTGGACCGTCATTCATTGAGGGTCTGCTTTGTGTTGAGCCCTATACTGGCTCAGAGGCTCTTCTCATCATCAGAATATGAAAGTAGCCCATGAGGCGAGCAGGTAAAAGAGGATAGGGTCAGTGATAGGTATGAAGCTGAAATTTAAGGGGTTAAACGCATTCATTCATTCATTGAGTGTTGCCCATCAGGTGTCTCAACCTGCTTGCTCCTTGTCTTTCCAGCTCCAGGAGGCCTTTGGGTGGGAGCCGTTCATCCGTCTCTTCTCCGAGTACAGGAACCAGACCAACTTGCCCACAGACAACATCGACAAGATGAATCTGTGGGTGAAAATGTTCTCCCACCAAGTGCAGAAGAATCTGGCTCCGTTCTTTGAGGCCTGGGCCTGGCCCATCCAGAAGGAAGTGGCAACCAGCCTGGCCTATCTGCCTGAATGGAAGGAAAATATAATGAAATTGTACCTCCTCACACAGATGTAAGGAGTGCCCAGCGAGGTGGCAGGTAGAGAGGTTTGGGGAGGTAGGCAGAGATGGGGATTCACTCCTCGACCTCTGTCTCTTAGTTCTAGCCTTGCCGTCTCAGCTCATTGCCCCTGGACCCTAGTAGCATCTCCGGGGGTGGGTTAAGAACATAAAGTGGAATCAGAAATCCTCAGGAGCATGGCCTTCCATTTATGAGCTCATCCCTCTGCTCTTGGCTGTCAGAGTCCCTCCTGACCCTGTGCTTGGCCAGTGCTGAGAGCTTTGGCCTCTGCTCCTACGGGTCACTATCACAGGCTACAGGCATTCACCCTGAGGACTCCCTGGGGCTTGATTTTTTCTTATCATTTTCCCCCAAACCTGACCATAGAACTCAATGGAAACACTAATTGATCATGATATTCAGACAGCTCCCTGAGAACTCATATTTTGCGTCATGGGTAGTTTTCCAAAAGGTTTGAAAAGCCATCGAGTGCCATTTGAAGAGCCCACCTAACAAGGGTTAGCTCTTAGGAAGTCGTTTTGTCTCTCAACTCCCGTTTCATTGTGTGTGGGGTGAGGGTAAAGATCCCTGCCTCACGGGGTTGCAGTGATGACCTAGACTGGTAATTCTGAGGAGCGTGGACACCAGGCATGCCCTGAGGGGTGCTTTTCTTTCGTGCTGGCCCACTCTCTGCCTGCAGCCCAGGAGTTAAGGTCATCGTCTCTCACAGTTGACCCGCTGCACCCGAGTCCTGGGACTTTGACCAGTCAGTTATATGACTTTGGGCAAGCTCCTCAACTTCTCTGTAACTCAATTTCCTTTTTTACAAAGTGGGATCTATTTCATAGGACTATTGTGAGGATTAAATTTTAGTACCTCTGAAAGTGACAGTACCTGGCAGTTAGTAGGTGCTGAGACAATGCGAGCAGCCACTGTTCATATCGAATTAACTCCCATCAGTTTAGACCAGGGCTGCACTTTGCGATGGCATGTTTACAATGCAGTGAATTAATCCTGTCCCACCCTGCCCTCTACGCAGACGAAAGGATTCTGGTACACTGCCCTGTGCTGTAAAGGCAGGCCTCTGTATTCACGATGGGGTTTTTCGAAGCTGCTTGGGGTTCAGTCTCCTTCAATTCCATCTCTCCGGTACAATCCCTCCTTTGATTAAGCGTGGAAATCACTTGAAAAGCCAGAACGAGACCATGAGGATGTTTGTGCTTAGCAAACAAGGAGCAGCCGGCTGAGTGGTGGTGTTTGTGTTTCTGTAGTGACACAGATTCCTATCACTGTTTGCCAGACAAAGTCTGTGCACAAATAGAAATCTTTACTCTGGAACAAGATAACTGGATGTGGCTGACCCAGATTTTATTTAGTTAAGTGCATTCAGAGATTGTCTTAACTTTTCTTCCAATCTTTATGGAGAACCTCCAAATTCTTTGTAGTTTCAGGTAGAGCTGGGGCTCCAGGATAAAAGCTGTGTGCTTCCAGCCAGTTTTCCTTCCTACGTCTTTTGATTTAGTTGCTTTAAGACACTGTTTTATTTGCTTTATTAGGATTTGGGTGGAGGCATAGACAATAGGATTTGACGTAGACAGTGTTTTTCTTTGGATTCTTTCATTGTGTCATTTCTCAATGCCAGAATTGTTTTCCCTTACTTCTCAAATATCTATCATGTAGGTTCTTCAAACATAGATGCTGAATATTCATTCAGCATTTAAAATAACTGCTGTTAAATAGTGGGCTGTTGTGTACGTGCCAAGGACAGGTGGCTTCATTTAATCCTCACAGTAATCTTATGGAATGGAAACTCACAGCTCCCATTTTACAAATGAGTGAACTGAACTTCATGGAGATTGAGTAAATTGCCTAAGCCTTTATTGCGAGTTAAGTGATAGATTTGGGATTTGAACCCAGGCATTCTGATTACAGAATGAGGGTTAGTAACTACAGTGCTTTGAACAAGCAAATAAATGAGTAAATGAAGAAATGAAGCAGCAAATAGAAGGACCTTTATGTCCTTACTTGCCAGCACTTTGGGTGCCTGTACTTACCCCCCATCTAATTTTATCAGAACAGAGTCCTTTTTTTTTTTTAAACCCCAAATGCCAGTCCAAGGGAAGACTGAGGTCGGCTCCCAATGGAGTGCTTCCCAGTGGACAGTGCTGGGACGATCCCTTTAGTATCAGCCCAGTCATCTGGGTTCTGGGGTCGTCGGGTTTCGGTCCTCCCTAGGGCACCATGAAAGTGTTGTGCTAGCTTATTGGATTTTCATCGACAGGCTATTGTGGGAAAGCATCTTGACTCCCAAGTGTCCCAGACCTTGCTATGTTCTCAGAAAGAAAATTAGGTGCTCAGTCATTTAGAATTATTTTTATGTTGATTCTTACCCTCTTTAATCCAGTCTCAGTGGTATAGCCCCGGGGACCTTTTACAAATGTCACATTGTCCATGTCACCGCCCCGTCTAAAAGCTTCCGGCGGGACTTTGAATTTAAGATGATGAACTGAACATGTAAGTTTACTTCCCTCCCTCCCCAGGCCCCACTGAAACTGAAGTCAAGAAACATAAAAGAGAATTGACTCATCTCAGCAAAGAAAACTGAAGGAATTTGGTTGTAAGTGAAGAAGATCTCAACACATTCCTGAAAGAGAGAAAGTGGAAGACACAATAATGAAAGAGTACAGCTCCTTGCAGGCAGAATATAAGCTGATTTGGACACAAAACCCCAAGAGACTTGGGTACCTGAAAAGTCTATTTACTAAAGAATTATGTCAGTTGTGAAATTGATTCCCCTCCCATTCTACCCTAACCTCTGTGCCCAGAACACAGGCAACCTACCATTGGTTTCAAGTCTGTTGTTATTATTCTGTTGGTGGTGTTTGTGTAAAGGAATCAGATAAACTGCTTGAGGAGAGGTAGGAGTCGGTGCCCCAAAGTAAATTTCTCTTTTATGGAAATAAACGAGCCCCTAGCCTATTACCTAATTCTCTGCTGACAGCCAAGATCCTTACTCAAGTAACCAAGTGCTTTCAGTCACAGAAAGACATCCTGCAGAAGCAGACAGACCACAGGGAGCCCAAGCAACTATATAAAAAACTCATATTGATTCTTCAGTGAAAATGGTCGGCGCAGAATTCCCAAGACATTGAGCCTTAGGGGGAGTGGTTGGGGAAGAGACCAGGAAAGCAGCATGGATTCAAGAGATTTGAAAAATATAACAAATTCTGGGGGAAACAGAGTTAGCATGGGAAAAATGACTTAAAATATCTGTATCTTTGGAGAGATGTGAGGTGCATCTGTAAGATTAAAAACAGGATGCTACAAAGAAAGGGAAAACCTTGAAAATAAGAACCCTTAAACTGAAATAAGGCTGCCAAAAATATTTAGTAGACAGACTCTAAGACAAGATTGAGGGAATCTTCCCAGATGTGGAGCAAAAAGAAATAGGAAATATAAAGGGCAGTGGGGAGAGATAGACAATCAGTATCTGTTAGGAGTTTCTAGAAGAGAACACAGAAAATGTTGTGAAGAAAAAGGAAAACAATTGAACAGAAATAACTTAAATTGCCAAATTGAGAAGACCCCCATACAACCTACATCTAGACACAATCTTGTAAAATTTTGGAATATTAAGGATGAAGCAAAGATATTAGAAGTGCCAAGAGAAAAGATAAAGTTAGATCATCATGATTAGCTCAACTAAAAAGGGATAAGAAATAGATTGGGAGATTTTTCACCAGCAACACAATGATACAGGCCAATAGAGGAATGTCTTCACACATGGAAAATCTCTGTACCCAAAATTCCATAGCAAGTCAAATGAAGGAAATTTTCTGACATGCAAGTTTTCAGAACATCTACCTTCTTTGCACTTGGAAAGGAAGTTCTCTCTCACCTGCTGAGGAAATTCTGCAGCAAAATGAAGATGAAAATCAGGAAAGAGGAAGAAATGGAAACCAGAAGACAGTGAACCTCACCCAAGATGTCACTCCAGAGTGACCACTATCCAACAGGAAGGCTCACTCCAGAGTGACCGTCATCCAGGAGACCCATTTCAGATGAGAGTACGTGGTCTCAGATTCTCTGATTCTGTGCCATAGACATTATCCTTGAGAAGCTGGAATGTTTTAAAAATGGAGGAGATGCATTCTTTAATAAACACAAAGGAAAACAAAGCAAAGATATGTCAAATTCAAGTCCAGTTATGAGATAATGATAACAGAAATTACTCACGGAATGTAAGAAGAGACTGGATTTGTCATTGGCGGTAGGTATATTTCATTTCAAGTGACATAGGAATCATGACATTGAATATGTTTGGAAGAAAATATCGTAGCTTCTACTTTGTTGTTGTTTAGTCGATAAGTCATGGCCAACTCTTTGGGACCCCATGGACTGTAGCCCACCAGGCCCCTCTGTCCATGGGATTTCCCAGGCAAGAATATTGGAGAGGATTTCCATTTCCTTCTCCAGGGGATCTTCCCAACCCTGGGATCAAACCCAGGTCTCCTCCTTTGGCAGGCGGATTCGTTACTGCTGAGCCGCCAACTCTCAGTAATCAGAATTTACAAAGCCAAAATAATGTAAATACTGTTTATTGGTATTCAGTGTTCTGATCAGCCTATAAATAAAACATGAGAGGCCTAATCTTTTATCCAGAAATGAAACTGAAAGTAACCTATCTTATAAAAGGAAAAAGAAAGCAGAAGTTGAGAATTCATTGAGGGAAGAGTGGTGGAGAGAAGAGTAGAATTACTTGCCTATTCAAAATGGGGGTGAAAAGTCTACAGTTAATGGGACAAGGACTAAAGGATTAGTTACTGTTCAAAATTATAAATTAAACCAATAGAAGCATTAAAAGTGACATCTATCAAAAAATTGGGAAAGGATAGGCAGATGAAAGGTGGGAATAGTGTAAGTTAAATCCTTATCTTTTGTAATGGGGAATTATTAAAGATTGTCTAAAGTTAATAAGTCAAGAAATTATTGTTCAAACATATTATTTAATGTTAGG